TTGAGGGTGGGGTGGGGTGGATAATAGGGCAGGAAAGGTTGAAAAAGAGTTTTGGAAAATATTTTTCCTTCTCTTGGCAGGGAAAACATTTTCCTCTAATTGGAAGGAAATTCATGAGAAAAATATTCTCCAAAATATGAAAGTCAACCAAACATGAAAAACTTAAAAAATACTTTCCAAAAAATATTTTCCTTCGTACCAAACATACCAAGGAAAATGAATGAGTCCAGATCCTCTCGAGTTTCTCAAATAACAAACCTTAATCTAGAAAAATACAATGACAAACATAAATGCATCACTACAGAGATTAGAGCACCAAAAGAAAATTACGGAGCCATATCAGGTGAAGAAAGCAAATTACCTATTACAGAAGGAACACAACATTTAATAAAGTAGAAAACTCTAAAAAAGTGTTTCAAAACTGAAGAAATATTGGATGTACACTAAATTGCCTAGGCTATTTGCTGAAGTTTGGTGATGGATCACCTGCAGAAACCCTAGACCGAGGGAGAAGAGAAGGAGAAAAAGAAGAAGAAGAAGAGAAGAAGAGAAGGAGAGGAAATATCTGAGAGAGAGAGGGAAATGAATGTAACGGTAAGAAATTGTTATTCCACTCACTGTGTTTCTATTACATTTACAAATATATATACACGTATAGCTAACCTCTATAACAAACAAACTAACTATCTCATTAACTCCCTAACTGACTGATCATACATAAATAAGCTAACCACTTCTCACAATCAGGTAACTCCTTTCTTCTCAACACTTCCCCTCAAGCTATATGTGGTATAAAGATATCAAGTACCCCTAGCTTAGACAACAGATACTCATGTTGAACTCGGGTTAGGCCTTTGGTTAGAATATCTGCTAGTTGTTCCTTAGTTGCTACATATTCAGTCCTCACTAGCCCATTCTGTATCTTCTCTCTTATAAAGTGACAGTCAATTTTAATATGTTTAGTGCGTTCATGGAATACTGGGTTAGCAGCTATTTGAATGGCTGTTTTACTGTCTGTAAGTATGTTCACACAGAGTTCAACAGCTACTCCAATATCCTTGAATAGTCCAAGTATCCAAACAAACTTTGCTACTATTGATGCAATGCTTCTATATTCTGATTCTGCTGAGCTCCTGGAGATAGTGTTTTGCTTCTTTGACTTCCAAGACACTAATGATTCACCATACATGACAAAAAATCCAGTTACTGACTTCCTTGTGAGAGGATAGGCAGCCCAGTCAGCATCACAATATGTTGTAATAGTGTTCATCTTCCTGCTAGACAATAGTATGCCTTGTCTAAGCTGCCCTTTTACATACTTGACCACTTTTTGTGCAGCTTCCATATGAGACCTCTTTGGCTTCTGCATAAACTGACTCAATGTCTGAACACTATATGCTATATCTGGTCGTGTGACTGTTAAGTAGAGTAGTTTTCCTAGTAGCCTCTGGTACTTGCTAGGATCTGTTAGGATTTCATCTGATATGCCTTCAAGAACACCAATTTATTCATCATATTCCATAGTAGTGAGCTTAACATTAGCTTCAATAGGTGTAGTTGCAGGCTTTGCAGCTCCCAGTCCAAGCTCAGAGATGAGCTCTAGTGTGTATTTCCTTTGATGCATCAGAATACCTGCTGGGACCTGGCAAACTTAATGCCAATAAAATATTTCAACTCACCTAAGTCCTTCATTTTGAAAATCTGTTGTAGTTGAGATTTGACTTCATTTATAAGTGTCATAATCAGGTCCAGTTAGAAGCATATCATCCACATAGACTAGGATGATGACAGTGTGTTTGCCTGTTCCTTTTACAAATAAAGAGTGATCATGTTGACTCTGCATGAATCCTAAGTGCACCAGTGGATCAGATAACTTAGCATTCCATTGTCTTGGTGCCTGTTTGAGGCCATACAAGGATTTCAAGAGTCTACATGTTGGTCTACTTTCCCCTAACTATGAAAGCCTTGAGGCAGAGTCATATATATTTCATCATGCAAATCACCCTATAAAAAGGCATTGTGCACATCCATCTAGTGAATGTGCCAATGCTCAGAGGCAGCTACTACAAGAATAGATCTAACTGTAACCATTTTAACTACTGGACTAAAGGTTTCCTGATAATCAATACCCTCTTGCTGATTGTACCCCTTGGCAACAAGCCTGGCCTTGAACCTTTCTACCTCACCTGAGGCCTTGTACTTTACCTTGTATATCCATTTGCATCCAATAGGAATTTTACCATCAGGCAAGGAGACCACATCCCAAGTGTGGTTAGACTCTAAAGTAGCAATCTCAGTCTGCATAGCATCCACCCACCTAGGAACTTTAGCAGTTTCTTCAAAGGCGGAAGGTTCCACTATAGTGAAAAAAGCAGCTAGATAGGCCTGATATGTAGGAGAGAGGCCATTGTATGACACATAGTTGGAAATAGAATAAGGCACCACCTTGTGTCCTGGCAAAGACACAAAGTCCTTCATCCAAATAGGAGCTTGTCTAGTTCTTAATGATCTCCTTAGACCAGGAAGGTTAAGTTCCTGAGAAGGCAAGTCTGGTGGAACCACTCCTGCTGGTGATTGATGTTGTATAGATAAGTCCTATTCTGAACTGCTAGCAGCATGATCAGAATCACTAGAGGAAGGAGGTGAGGTGATACCATTGAACTCAGTATCAACAATAGAAGGTACAGAGGGCAAGAATACAGGTGGTATAGAGGCAGGAGATTCCTTGAAAGGAAAAACATTTTCCCTAAATAAAACATCTCTGTTAATAAGAAAGCAATGATTATCCAAATCTAACAAAATGTAACCTTTTTGAGAATCAAAAAACCCCATAAAGACAGTAGGCTTAGCCCTAGGAAGAAGTTTGTCTATCTCCTGAATCTGTTTGGCATAACACAGACAGCCAAGTACTCTCAAATAATCCAAACTGGGTGCTCTACCATATAACAACTCAAAGGGAGACAATCCATTGAGTACAGAAGATGGCATCCTATTAATAATATAGACTACCGCAAGAACATAATGAACCCAGTACTTAATAGAAATATTGGCTTGAAACCTTAAAGCTATAGTCACCTCCAGAATATGCATGTGTTTCCTCTCAGCAACTCCATTCTGCTGAGGGGTGTAAACACATGTCTTCTGATGAATAATACCATATTTTTGGAAGAAGGTGGTGCATACATAGTTAACAAATTCAGACCCATTATCAAATTTGATTGCCTTCAAGGTTTTGTTAAACTGGGTTTGAACAAACACAATAAACTGAGTGAGAACAACATATACATCATATTTTAACTTCAGAAGAAACAACCAAGTCATTCTGGTAAAATCATCAACAACAGTCAAGAAGTACTTATTTCCATCAAAGGTTGCATACTTGTAAGGACCCCAAACATCCACATGAATTAGATCAAATGCATCAGTGTTCTTAATACAGCTAGTAGGAAATGGTAGTCTAATTTGTTTAGCACATAGACAGACAAAGCATTTATTGATGGTATCAGTAATACTAGCTAGTTTAGTAGGAAATAGTCTTCTGAGTACTACATTAGAGATATGACCTAGCCTTTTATGCCACAAAGTAATATCTGTAGTTTTTGACTGTATTCCAGCTGCAACTAGAGCAACTGCAGTAAACTTCTTGGCCCTATGTTTCTGCAGAAAGTATAAGCCTTCTCTTTCCTACCAATCTCCCTCACCTTGCCACTGAAGAGATCCTGAAATACACAAAAATCAGGATAAAAGGAAGCAAAACATCTTAGATCTCTTGTCACCTTGGAGACTGACAATAAGTAGAATTTGAATTGAGGGACATAGAGCACTTCCTTAATAGTGCTTCTATCTGAAATATGACTATCTCCAATCTGAGTAACTTGAGTAACATCTCCATTAGTATTAAAACTCTTTTAGTTTTAGAAGGTGTAGTTAGGGAGGTTTTGGTCAGTAAGTTTACATCTGACACCATATGATTTGTTGCAGTTGTATCAATGATCCATTCTTGTTCTTGTGAGTTAGTGGATGCTAAAAGAGCAGTATCAATACCTGCTACATTTGCTTAAGTAGGAGGAGTTGGACTACTGTTCAGAGTCTGTATTATCTGATCATATTATTCCTTGGTAAAGGAAAAACCACCACCTTATGGAGCAGTATTTGCTGATCCCTGAGAGTGTGAAGAGGAAGTACCTTCCTGATTCTGAGTGCTTGATATCCCATAACCTTGTAATCCCTCAGGAACTTGGCTCACATATTGATTGCCTTGATACATAGGCATCTGTTGGATTGCCCTGTTCTGAGAAGCATGATTTGTGTGCAAAGGCACACCATGACTAGGTTCTATCATAGCATTGTATGCACCAGCTCCCCCTTTCTTTTTAGCCTTATAGTCTTGTGGATACCCTATGATTTTGTAGCAGTTTTCTTTGCTATGGCCTTTCATTTTACAGAAGTCACATTGGACATTATAATTTTTCCTAAACTTTGGATTGAAACTAGGCTTAGCACTGTACAGAGAAGTGGAGTCATAGGCATTTGTGTTTACATTAGGAGCAGATCCTAATACTCCAGCATTGGCTACAACAGATCTCTGACTTTCATTACTCATAAGCATATCATAAGCTTGATTTACTGTTGGTAATGGTTTCATCATAAGGATTTGACTACGTGCTTGAGAATAAGAGTCATTTAGGCCCATTAAAAATTGATACATCTTCTGATTACATAAATGCACAATAAATTCTTTTGTCTTAACACAATCACAGAGTAGGTAATACAGACTCAGTCTCATCCCAAAGGTCTTTGAGCTTTGAGTAGTAAATAGAAATAGACGCAGTACCTTGATTTAGAGTGGCAATTTCCTTGTGCAAATTATAGCAACGTGTATCATTCACCTTGTCAAAACATTCCAGCAGATCCATCCACACTACCTGTGCACTAGTAGCGTATGCAATCCCACTGATTAATGCCGGAGCCACTAAATTCATCATCCATGACAAGATGATTGCATTGCACCTCTCCCATTGATACCAATACTTCTCACGAAACCGCTCCTTAGGCCACCTGCCATCAATAATCCCCAGCTTATTTCGACCAAGTAATGCAATTCGCATAGATCTATGCCATAGAGAGTAATTGTCAGTGTCGGTTAGCTGAAATGAGATCAAGAATATTCCACTTGTGTCGCCGGGAGCTAAGTACAAAGGATGAGTGACTGCTACAGTCACTCCCTCCTCAAATTCATCCTCTAATGATGCATGTGAAGCATTTTCAACAGTAGTATTAGGACTTTCATTCAACAAATCATCAACCGCTATTGTTGATCAATGTCAAGTTGTAAAAACAGAAAATTGAGATATTAGATTTGAAGCAGAATTTTGATTTAAAAGAAATTGAAGATGAAAAGAGATTGCGGATCGATCTCTGAGCTTCAATTCTGAGCTCGGAGCTCTAATACCATGCTGAAGTTTGGTGATTGATCACCTGCAGAAACCTTAGACCGAGGGAGAAGTGAAGGAGAAGAAGGAGAAGAAGAAGAAGAAGAAGAAGAAGAAGAAGAGAAGGAGAGGAAATATCTGAGGGAGAGAGGGAAATGAATGTAATAGTGAAAAATTATTATTTCAGTCACTGTGTTTCTATTACATTTACAAATATATATACACGTGTAACTAACCTCTATAACAAACAAACTATCTATCTCATTAACTCCCTAACTGGCTGATCATACATAAATAAGCTAACCACTTCTCACAATCAGGTTACTCCTTTCTTCTCAACACTATTACGTTTTTATTTTGAAGGATTTGTTTTCAAAATAAGTAATCAAATTAATTAATCAAAATAGTGGATATATTAATTATTAAAAGAGCAAATCGATCAGCTTGTAATCCGTTTGCATTAGTGATAATTAGTTTAAAGCATATATTGTATAAAATTAAATAATAGAGGCAAGCATAATTATAAAATCACAGTATAAAATTAAATAATAGAGGCAAGCATAATTATAAAATCACAGTATAAAATTAAATAAAAGTGGCAAGCATAATTATAATCACAAGAAATATTAGAGTGACTGGACCAAATATTTTGAGGGAAGTTTATGAAATATCATTATTATACTTTAATTTTTTTATATTATAGTTAGGGTGTTAAGTTATATTAGTTATATTATTTTAATTTTTGTATTACATGTTAGAGTTCTACATCTTCTAGGGTATTAATTTGGTATAAATTAAATCAGAATAAATTATCTATACTTTTTTCAATAAATATTTTGGAGAAGTCAACTATGCGAGTATCTTAACTTTATTTTGAGAGGCAATTAATGAAACGAACCTGCATTAAACAGCATAGATTAGCGAAACCAATGTGCATGTGGGTCCATGTGACGCATTTAATATAGTTCCCAGAACAATTTATTAAGGTAATTAGAAGTTGACCAGTTGAGAATAATTACCATATCTGCTTTTAAAAAAGGGAAAATTTCACATTAGAACAATTGAGCTCCGTACTTTTCAATTTTATAGCCCATATTTCAATTTACAACCAATTAACCAAAAAATAATAGGCTAAGATTCAACATCCAACTCTAATAGGTTTTCAAAATTACTATTTAATTTTAGAAAAAGATTCCTCAAGGTTTTAAATTAATTTTCGAATCAGTAATTGTGACTCAAATATTAATTCAACAAACTAAATTCATTTGGGTGGTGAAAATTAGATTTTTAACAAGCATAAATATGTGGTTTAAATTCCGAATTTGATTTTGTGAGAAATTTGGAGTGGATGTTATTTAGACTTGTTAGAAATAGTATAAGGAGGGTGTACATAAAATTTGAAGTCATTTAATGGAGATTTGGACTTGTTTTGAATAAGAATTGCAACCGAAAATCGTGGAAGAAGTTCATCTACAGACGCTTGTATAAAGGTGTATAAAAGTGTATAAGGTGTATTTCTACACTCATATACACTATTATACAAAATTATACATAATTATACAAAAAACTGACTTCGTCTTCTTCCTTGCGTCTTTTCTGAAATTTAACTCAAATCTACTCCAAATCATTTCAAATTTAAATTTTGAACTCCTTTTGATATTTTCAATCAATTGGAATAACACCCAATCCAAACAACTAACAAATTAAAAAAAAAATTATTTTCAAAAGCAAAGCTTTGAATGGTCTTCAATGGTGGACTTCTACTCTTCAATTTTCTTATATTGCAAGCAGGTGACGCAAGAGGAGAAGCAGAAAATACACGGTCCCTTGAAGCATATGTAGAAGATATGAGAAGAAGAGAGAGTGAAAGCAATAGTTGTGAGAACATAGATTTAACTCCATAGCTTTTAGAAGCAATGGTTGTAAGAACACAGATTTTAAATTTGCTAGTTCTTTCAAAATATGTACAATATGGTCTAGGTGAGGTAAAACTTAAAAACATGGGCCATTTTTTGTTATGGTGTGAAGTCATGTGTGTTTTCTTGTAATTCTTTCTTTAAAAAAAGGGGAAAAAATAAAAGTGTTTATAAATAGGATTTTATTTATGGCGAATGTCTATATTTAGAGAGATTTTGGGGTTTATTACTTGGTGGCTAAGTCACTCTCTGTGATGACCCAAAATGTCATATTTAAATTAAATAATCATATCGCTGTTTTAAGACCTTGAAAAGCGCTATCAATATTTCCTCGACTTGCGTGCACAGTCCGTATAATTTTCCGAAAGGTTTTTATGTAAAAAATGGATTAAATTGTGAACTAGAGCTTTAAAAACTCAACTGAGTTGACTTCGGTCAACATTTTGAGCAAACGAACCCGAATAAAAGTTTTGACCATTCCGCTAGTTCCGTATCGTGATTTGGTACTTGGTCATATGCCCGAAATCGAATTTGGAGATCCCTACATCAAATTATCGCCATTTAACGGAATCTAGAAATCTAAGGCTAAAGATTTCTTAAGTTTGACCGGAGATTTGACTTTTTGATATGGGAGTCGGAATCCAGTTCTGAAAATTTTCATAGCTTCATCTTGTCATTTATGACTTGTGTGCAAAATTTGAAGTCAATCGGACTTGATTTGATAGGTTTTTGCATGGAATATAGAAGTTGGACGTTCTTAGTTTCATTAGGCTTGAATTGGAGTGTGATTCACGGTTTTAGCATTATTTGATGTGATTTGAGGTTTCGACTAAGTCTGTATCATGTTTTAGGACTTGTTGGTGTATTTTGTTGAAGTCCCGAGGGCCTCGGGTGGATTTCGGAAGGTTAACGGATATAAAAAGGCTGCTGAATTTTCTCTTTGGACAGCTGCTGAATTTTTTTACAGCATGTGAACAGTACCCGTGAACAATGCCCGTAACAGTACCTGTGAACAGTGTCCGTAAACATTACCCGTGAATAGTGTCCGTGAATAGTGCCCATGAACAGTGCTGGACAGAATGTTAAGTTCTGAAAATGGGACGTTTTTACCAAATTGGAGCTTGGGGAGAGGCGATTTTTGGGAGATTTTCTGAGAAAATAACGGGGTAAGTGTTCTTAACTTAATTTTGGTTAGATTACCCGAATGTATTACTAGTTTTGGCATTAAATCTATGAATTTAGTTGGAAGAGTTTGAAAACCCTCTCGGATAGATTTGAGGATTTGAGGGTCGATATATTATCGAGTAATTTTGGTATGGTTTAGACTCGGGGTTGGATGAGGTTTCATATTTCGCAACTTTCGTCGAATTCCTAGAAGTGGGCCCCACGGGCAAATTTTTAGTGCAATTTCGAATTTTTAATGAAAAATATAGAATTTCATATGGAATTAAATCCTATAATTTTTATTGACTGAATCGAATTGTTTATGACTAGATTTGAGAATTTCGGGCACGAATTCGCGAGGCAAAGACTTTTTGGAATTTTGAATTGGTTACAAAGCGAGGTAAGTGTTTGGTCTAACCTTAGCTTGAGGGATTATTAGTTGTGTCCTATTTGTTATGTGTTATTTGTTGAGTACGACGTATAGGCATGGTGACAAGTAT